ATAAACAGATACTCACCAGTGTGTGTTCATAGACCAGTCCTGCATGTCCTAAGCACTCAGGAGTGAGGTCATCAACCGAATTCATAGCAATGCCACCACAAGCAAGAGTAAGCCTGTCAAGTGAACAATTAAAATCAGAAGAATATTATTTCTAGATACTCTATTTCTAGTGTCATTTAGCCTGTTGGACTGTTTGATGAAATAAAAGTTCTTTACCACTTGACTAGTTATGTTAACAGTACTTGCAACATATAATCTTGGTTAGTTTGAGAGCAAATGAAATGTGTTTGTCCATTTTGAACGGAACCTTGAACATTCATCATGCAGTGAGTAAACAAATGTTATGTTAACAGAATTTTAACATATGAATCTAGGACATGTTACACAATCCATTTAGCTATTTATACTATTTAATAGAGGGCTATGTCAAAAGTCAAAAACAATTCATGGTTAATTACAGTGTAAAGTGGAAACGCCTAAATTTCTTACTTAACAGCAGTACAAACTATGTCTCTCAGGCTGATGCAGGCCATCTAGTGGCTCAAGGTAAAACTGCATGAGGAAGAGCAGCGAGTGCTCAGCGTGCCCAATGACAAACGTTTATAAACAATACAGTTCACTATGTAATACAGACCTACCTAAAATATCTTTAAGTTCTTATATTTTAAGAGGTAACAAATTCTGCTTTATCACTTAAATCTCATTGAAAAGAAAGTCTCTTACCTTTCCATGTTCCTCCTCTTTGCCCTGCGCAGAGCTACAATGCCTTCTTTGGCCAGGGCGTCCAGAGAGAAAGGGTCGATACCCTGTAGAGGACAAGGAAAGAAATAAAATGTCAGCCTCCATAAATAAATTGCATTATGTTGTTTCAGTAATATAGTTATTGTTCTGATCCGCTGAATACATGTAAGAGAGAAGTAAACTCTCCTAATGCAGAGGTACAGATCAGAGTTACTGTAGCACAGATATACAAAAGACCAGGGTGAGCCACATTAGCAGCCGTGGGTGTTCACTGTGCATTTAGGAGTGTATTTCTGTCAAACAATAATTATAAAAACATTTTTTGCTGGTCTTAGGACTTGTATATTAGCATTTTGTTTATCAGATCTTTTCACCACAGCAATAAAGACACTTTAAAATGCTTGTACTGCTCATACTCTTTAGACACACCTTCTGGTTGATGACCACAAAGCCTTTCTCCCCATTAGGACAAACGTCATTTTTCAGGGCAATGATCTTTCGCACACGGTCCTCGATGAATTTCCTCTCTGCAGACACAAGCTTCTCCCTCTCATCAGCACTCTTGTAGAAGAAACCGGAATTGACTTCTGTCTTCTCATACTCCAAAGACACGTTGCAAGTCAACACGAAGGCGTCCTCTACTCTCTTCTTCATGTCCGGGTGTCGAGCACCATGGTCCAGCACCAAACCTTTGATCAATCTAAGAAACAATGGAAAACCTTACAGATCTGAGGACCTGAACTGCTGCAATAGTGAGGTTTAACTTATTTAGACTTACTGTGTATCACAGTCAGTCTTATGGGTCATCTCCATGATTTCCACCATGTACAGGTCAATGGGTTCATTGGGTTTAGCTATTGTCAAAACAGCATCTACTACAGCCTACAGAGACAAGCCAGATATGGATTAGTCAAAACACTAACAGTAAAAGGACTGTATTACTTGCAGTATATATAAAATCAAACATTATTCCCCCATATCTCACCTCAGTCAGCAGATCTGCCAGCTCTACATGGACTTTAGTCCTGAGAGAAGTCCTTGCCACATTAATGAGGGTTTCTCTGTCCATTTCCTGGGACACCTTTATCTCTTCCAATACTGCCAATGCTTTCTCTTTTGCTGCCTCAAAGCCCTCAACAATGATTCTTGGATGAAGCCCCTACAAAGATTGCATCCAATTAAGTATACTAACTTTGAATTTGAAATAAAGAACATGTCCTAGTAAGAGAGAAACACTGACAATGGCTCTGAATTGTTACAGCTTTATCTTTTACCTCTGACACGTAAAGGTCAGCCTGCTTCAGCAATTCTCCAATGATGAGGACATTAGATGTTGTTCCATCTCCAGTGATGTCATCCTGTGCTGTGGCAACCTTGGCAATCAAAGATGCAGTTGGGTGCTGAATTTGCTGAAAAGGGGAAAATAAAATATTTTAAAAAAGTAATCCTTGATGGTGATTTAAGTGAAGGCACATTACAAATCACATTACAAATGCATTTAGCTCCTGCAACCCCAACACTAGAATTGATCCACCAAATTACTACACTTATTTGGTTGGTTCCATAGTGCAGCAGTTAGCACGCCTGCTTTTCAAATTTTAGCCGTCACTGAAGTGGTAAAACAAACCCTTATATATCATTTACAATAATGTTCAACAAAGTATGCACATTTTGTACATTTAGCAGGATTCTTGGTCATTTTATGTTCAATACACAAATTGATAATATGGGGTTGGTTTCTAACAATGAGCCTAAAGACCAATGAAATGATCTGAACACGGTTATTTCTCACCATTTCATGTAACAGGACGTTGCCATCTTTGGTTATTTTAATGTCCCCTGCTCCAGACACCAGCCTGTGGGTGAGACAAGCAGGGCAGGGTTTAGTTTACAAACACGAAAGACATCTTTTATCAGAGAATATGTTAATTCAATAAAACATTTTTTTGTAACATCTACTCTAAAGAAAATGTGCGAAAAGTACGTTAAGTGTTATAAGGCGTGTCCGTATGTCGTATTTGAACAAAACTAACTTAAAGTAACATAACATAGCATAACCCTCTAATTTCATCAGAGATAACAAAAATGACACTCTCTCCAAAAATCCAGTTTTAGTGTTGGCTTTAGGTCCTACCTAATACAAGCTAGTGTGCTAATTTAGCTACTCAGCATCCACAACGGATAATGACGATGACAGGGCAGAGAAACGTGAATCCGCAAAATTAGTTTCAATGACAGGAGGTTGAGGTAAAGTAGTTCGAGATAAAATACTTTATTATATTGCATACATTTCTCACACGTTGTGTTAAATAAAACTACATTACTACTATAACAGCAATGGTACCGGTGACCAGATGCTATCGTTAGCAGCTAGCAGAGCACGCGTGCTGCACAAAGAGCTTTAGCCACTCACATCTTCATGGTTCCCTTCGGTCCCAGGTTGCTTTTCAGCACGTCCTGTAGACCTCGTGCGGCACTGATGTTCACTGCGAGGGCGGCCTGGGCCTTGGCCACTTCTGCTTTAGGGTTTAGAGCTTTCACTGCAGACATGGCGAAGCAGCACAAACTGCGAAGGTAAATTAGAAAAGTGGTGCCGTCTTAAGACCGCACTGCTCGGGCCCGGTCGCTCTCGAAAGGGGAAGCACTTTCCAGAAGGCTCCAACACGTGGTCATCAGGCGCATTTATGTTACCAAGCTGGGCTCGGAATTTGTAGAATTTAACAAAGTGCACGCTCAAAATTAGTCGATTTATCTAGTAAGCAAACTTAAATGTAATAATTGGTACGTGGTCTCCTTTCTCTATAATACATGTATGTATGGCTGCCACCTTTATCACCTTAAAAGGGAAGTTAACGTGACAACAAAATACAGTCCTTGAAGCCTTTGATCATGGCTAAAAAAAAAACGTCTCCCCTAATCAACTAAACATACTGTATACATTGAACATTGAATACCTATATTAGAATTCCATGTTAAATATAATCACAATGATCAGTTATGCATTTGCACATGCACTGAACAAACAACCTTTTTTTATAATTCCTGATAGTTATGAACGCACCACCAGTCACACCCATTACGTAGGACTGGTACGTCACACTTGTAGAAGCGTTCCAGTTCAAAACATTTTTGTTTTTAAAATTAAAATTATGAAGATATTTTTTGTTTTTGACACGCTGTACACTGTAAAAGAAAGTGGTTATTCCAATTGCAGACTCCGTTTGCAAGTGATATTTTGTTTGCTATTGCAATTGCCATTGCTATTATTATTATCATCATTAAACGTTTCAGTCAAAACTGGGTACATTTTTGATTGATTTAACAAACATTTGCTTCTGGCTACAAGGCAATGTGCCTCGTGAAGTTTCAGAACAAAACATGGGATGAGATACTATTAATTCAGTAAAGCCTAACATAAGTTCTCAAAAATATATCAATGAATAAAAAAAAAGTCCTTGATTAGTACAATTATCTGAAGTTTAATCCAATATTTACAACTAATTTTACTGAAACACTGCCATTCATTTTTACCACCCAGGGATATTGCGCTTTTCTGTGCAATCTTTACAATCAGTTACGATGACCTACAGACGTTACAGAACTTTATCTGTCTGGGTTAATAAGCCCACTATGTGTGTCTAGAATTTCAACATTAGAAAAACAACCTGCACACACGTCATCTTGGCAGTAACATAGTTAGTTTGGTAACAGACACACTTACAGCTGAAATCAATTCAAGCTCAAGCCAAAGGAAAAAAAAAAAAAAAAGAAACACAGAGAATAAACCGTTGTTGACTTTATGTCCAGGTCACTGGCAGTGCTGGTTCGACCTTCTACAGAGCTCTATTATCATTGCATGGGCTGCTGGGCAGTTATACCCCTGAATTGGGTTACTTTAAAGGTGATGTTTTCATGGGGATCATTATTCTGGATTCCATGTGTTGAATTAGAGGGACTGTGAAAAGAAAAAAAAGAACACAGCACAATAAAAAAGGACTTGCATTTCATGTTCTTTGTGCTTATTGTTTTCATAAACACAAAAGAACCGGTTATCGACAAGAATCATATTAACAACTAAGTAGGACATTGGACAAAGACAGCATATGCTTTTACTCTTAGTGTCCAATTGCATTTTATTTCATTAACTTGGCTGTTCGTTCAAATATATGATTATACTGAGAAAACGCTTTTGGAACGCCTGAACACAAAATATAATTAAATGTGATAAAAGACAGCATTGCTGTTAATGTAGATATTTTGTGTTACATGAATTTAATTTTAAAATAATTATGTTACTATTATAAGTTACCATAAGGAAAAGATCAACAAGACTCTACAGCAAAGTAAAACCTACCTGTGTAATAAACAACTTCATCCCAGCCTTCACGTTGCCACGCTGCATTTCTGGTGTCTTCCCTGGACTGAAGATCTTTGTAAGCTAAGACAAAGAACATTTTCAAATGACATGCAATATAGTGATTACTAAATAATAGTGAACCTTACACATAAGTAGAATTTCTGTACACCCTAACCAGACATTAAAACTGCTCACCCCATAAGTGATGTACTGTATACAGACTTCCTATCTGTGAGAAGAAGCCTCCGACTGCCTCATGGTTCTGCTGGCGTATTTCAATGGCACGTGCCCTGCAGAGCAGCAACAAGTATAATATACCAATCTAATAATTCATGTTGATGATAAATCATCAGTTGATCATAGACAAGCTAAATCAAAAATAATTTAAATTAAATTTCACTCCATTTCCAATTATTCTTTTTGTCACTAAAACATTCAAATTTCAAAGGCCAATAGTTCTTAATATCATTAACAGGCAAAACGCAAAACCATTATGATTCAAATTATGATGAAACAGTGCATTTATGTTAAAACCAGAGTAAATAAATCATATATGCTGAATAAATACAAACTGTAATACATGCTTAGACATTCATGCTTAGGTTTTGTTGCAAGAAAGTACCACTGACTTATTTATCTGCTACAATCTGTAAAAGAAATAAAAAGTAAGAAAATAATTTAACGCAATTTACAGAAAACTCGTCGAAAAAAAAGAAAAAAAAAGAAATGATCTTTTAACCTGCAGTTTATATTTCAATATAAATCCAATATGATAGCTTGGAAAATCACTGAGTCATACCAGTAGTTTCCCCATTCAATCATTGTTCCAGGCTGGTAATAAAACAGAAAGAAATACATTGTCAGATTGATTTGAACTTGATGCAGTTATATTTATGTCTACAAGAAGACAAAATGTGAAATGAGATGTACCCTGAGTTGGTATGACCGCAGCTCATAGATGTTAGGTCCTGAACGAGGAACAGGTTCATTCCAAAAACTGAACTCCAGCAGCAACTGGTTCCTTCGAGACAGCAGCATCTTTCCTCTCTCTGTCCTGTAGTCCATGAATTCCTACAGCAACGACAAATTATGGTAATGCATTATTAAGGTAATATAAATATTAACAGACCTTGCCATCTAGACACAAGCTATTGTCATAAATCAAAGTCACAAAAGTCAACCATCAATAACTTCACACAAATGGGGACATTTTAATTTTTACCATCAATCAACATTTTTCTGACGGGATAACAACATGAAACATTCCTCTTTATTACAGCATGATACACATTACAGTTCATTTAGAGGAATATATAAGCACCATGGCAGACAGGATATGTGTTTAATTGAAACAATGTATCATCTATAACCATGGTCCTAGTGGATGGAGCAGCTTTACAACACATTGATGTCCAATCATATGCACTTATTCCCATAATGTCTTATGGCCTATTTTCCTCCAAAGTGGTTCACTGCCTACACTTCCCTCGGCTTTACTTATACATCCATATACTGTAGTATACACCCATCTTGACATATGATTTGTAAAACAATTCCTGAATAACTACATATTAAGATATAGGCATTAAGTAGGATTAAAGTAAATTTTGGACAAAACCACGGTTTATGATGTCAAAAACATGTCAGTGCTAAAGAGGCTGTACTGTGTAATCTCAACTCATAAACTTGTTTGCCAATCAGATGGCAGGTAGACCCGAGAAAGGATAATTGTTTATTGCACAGATAAAAAAGTTGAACTAAATATCAATTTTGTACACATGGGTAGAGCTCAAGCCACATAGAAAAATACATTTTCACAAAAGAGATCCACCTTAAATCAGGTAAAGATGACAAAAACCAGAAACAGCACTCAGGTGTTAATTTAAGGGGTGCACGGCCAGAGAGAAGACCTACACATCACCAGCAACTGCAGACTGCGCTAATCTCAGCACCTTATTTGTTACCTGTTACCTTATTCTGCCTGAGTTTGTTCATGACTTCGGTTAGAGCTGGGTATCCTCCCCGATATCTCCACAGGTGAACTAGAATAGAAGGAGCAAAAGAGCCAGGGATAATGCAGCTCTCACATTTATCTCAGCCTTTCTGCACTCCTTTAGGCAGATTTTTTTGTGGGAAAAATTGCTGAATTATTTATATATAGTGGGTCTGGCATTTGAAAAGTATCAATCATAAATTTCTGTTTCACTTTGAAAAATATTGGAAATTCCTATAGCAATGAAATCAAGTTGAATATGACATCCGACCTAAGTATGAACAGGTGAAACATATTTCCAACAAAATAAAAATCTTAACTGTAAAAAAATAACAACCATTAAAGGTTATTATCAATCTGAATCCAGTAACCAAGCTAAAAAGCAAACATTTATTAGGAGCAGTAAATATTATTTCATTGTATTATTACACGTTTGAAAAAAGAGCAATATAAGTTAATCTGCAGACACATGTAGATTAAGAACACATATTTTTTTGTAAATATTTTTATCCTTCTCTTTTTACTTGAGTCACCTGCATCATTAATATTTGCAAGTGTAAATAGAAATATCATATTGAAGCATTTTATACATTTTTAACTCTTACCTGCTTGATCTTGCTCTCCATACCATGTGTTCCAAGTGCCTACAAGCTCACAAGGGTAATCAGGATTGGCATGTATGGAAGGCAAGACGTCTTCACTAAATACACACAAGCACGAGTAACAAAAACAAACAAAACAAAAAAAAAAAATCAGTGTTTCTTAAATCTTCCTCAAAACCCCTAGGGTTCAGGTTATAGAGTGATTTAACTGAAAAATAGAGGCTTTGTACCAAAGTTCATTGTAATCATCCAGGCATTCAGGCTTGACATTATGAACTGCACAGAGAGAAGAAAAATCAACTTAATGCATTATGTAAAGGAGATTTTTTTATATTTTAAAACAACAATGGAGAAAACAGTTGGGGTTATCAGGTTAAATGTGACTTCCTATTATAAAAAACATAATGTCATAAAATGACCTACACTGTATTTTGTATAGATTGTTGTCCTCTTTCTTGGCAAGCAGATGAGAATGAGCATCCTTTCTTGGATCAACCTTTCTTACAAACAGAGACTTCAACCAGTCTTGAGAAAAACCTGAAAAGCTCCTGCGAAGAACGGAAAATGCAAGTATTGGATCTGAGCTAAAACAAAACAGTAAGCTGTATAGACTGTATTATTCAGCAAGTTAGACAACACAGACATATATACCAGGTTCAGAGAAAACATAAATACCATATATTGTTACGTAACTAACTTTCTTACTACTAGTCTGATAATAAACACCCTGATTCTTAGATACAAATAGTGACTTTTTTTTCTGACTAAAATGGTGTTATCTCCATATCGAATGCTGCTGTATACTGGAGCTACAGTTTGGGGGTGGCAGATGCCAACAGACTCAGCAGACTGATCTCTATGTGCTGATTAAGCACAGCAGCATCTTTAAGAGAACTACAGGAAGCAATTTCTGTGTAAGACCATCAGACTCCCTCTGGAAGCCATCACTAAACTTACGGAACAATATTTAATTTTTTTGATAATAAATCTTACAAAGTATAAATTGCCACAATTTCCAATCTGCCACAGTTCATATTTTATACCCAGTATTATACTTGATTGTAAATATTTATATATTAATCTCTCTATATGTTAATCTATTTTTGTTTTTGTTATTTATGCACTTGTAGGAGCCAATAATTGACCCCTGTGGATCAAACATTATTGGATCCTGATTCTTTTTGGCTATAGAGATATTGCCTATTCTTATAGAACGGAGAGGGGGAATATTTAAAAAACACTGTTGCCATGGTAAAACTCTGTAGTGGTAGTGTGATGTAATTAGCAAATCTCGGTGTGCAAAAAACTATTAAAAAGAAGCCACGTGATGAATTTGGTTACAAGAATACTTTTAATAAAAATACAATTATAATGATGAAAGGAATTTGTATCAACACTAATAATGCGTATTTTTTCAAGAAACTGGACCAGAACCTAGCTTGCCTAAAAGAAGACAAATATATAAATATTGTTTTGCCTGCAATGCTATATAAAATGACCTGTGCCTTTTAAATGAAGTACATGTTAGCTAATGCTGTTTAATTTGTTGGGTAAAATGCTGTAAACTGATTACGTGTCCACTACAACCTTACGACTTTCCTGATGCATCTCTTATACTATTTTCTGAATGACAGCTTGGTTACATACACAGCTGCTGCACAAAGACGCTGAACCCCTAATGTCATTTTCGAGAATAGAATCATTCGTCAATCATATCCAATAACACTACCACATAGCACTAGTAGCACGCTGACCTTGCGTTTTAATTCAAATTAATTACTCTCAGTCTGATAAATTGTACAAATAAAAATATAACTTCCTGTCTTTACAAAACTAGCACGTATATGGAATGTTTCCGGTCTTTACGGTTGAGGGAAGGTATCAACAAACACCTTTGACATAAAGTTATCAGAGCTAGAACAGCTAACTGCAGCTAACGACGTATCACGCAGATAAAACGCGTAACAACGTCTGCAGCCTAGCATTAGCCACATAGCATGTAAGGAGTTTGTCATAGTTTTTAACTCGGGGTTAAGAAGCAATTGTTTACGCGCAATTTCTGCTGTGGCACTGACAGTGTGCACTTAAGAGAACCTGACCTCGCAGAGACGATGACTCGTCCGTTCGTCATAAGTCCGTCTTTAGTCTGTTTAAGGCCATTGGTAACTCTTTGAAGGACTCTGGTCGCCATCTTTGCCCTGAACATTGTTATCAAAAAGATGCTGTCATTAGTCTCCAGGAGGAGCTACGTTATTGACAACAACGTGATCCTATCAGAGAGGTTACAATATGGACATTTAATAAAAATAATTAAGATTGTGGTCCATGTAAAACATGTATTAGAAACTTTTATTCCTCTCTATTCCAATTTTTATAAACCTCTACTCAACATATTTTGCACATCCTTAAATAATAAAACTTTAAAGCAGGGGGAATAAATAAACAATTTAGCTTAGTATTAAACACACAGCTTGATAATCTGGTTTATATAGACCAATAATCATACAGTCTTACTGGATAGACAACCAAGTAAAACCGACAACTAAAATGTAAACACAACTACCTAGTCTACCTTAAAGTACTCAAATATATGCACATACTCTGTCGCCTCAATAAATGCAAATTTTGAAACTATCTCTAAAACACAACTTTCGAAACTTTATCTATGAGCAGTTTAAATAGTAACATAACAAAGTTGCCAAACACATGCATCAGTAGATGTTTTAAAGACAATTTATTAAGCTGTTGTAATAATGTTTTGTTATAACCAATCTGTCATCTAAGTGCACATAAAGGAAAACATTTATTACTCAGAAATGGCTCAAAACTTCCACCTGAACACAAAACTGTAAAACTCTTTGAGCACAACAGTATATAACATATATGGAAAACTGTTACAGAAAATCTCAAGATAACAGAAGTGCATAAGATAACGATAGTTTTTGTCATGAAGTTGGAGAATGTATTGGTGTGGAGTCAGTTCCACTTGCAGCACAGATGTCAAGCTTCTGTATTTTTTCCAAAATTGTCTTGTCTTCAACACTGCTGGGAAGTTCGGTCAATGGCTCTAGATACTCCCTTCCAGCAACTTTCTTTCCTGTAACTGGGTCGATCACTCGACCCACTTTATACACAATCTCTGCCAGTTCATGTTTGACATGTTTAGATCTTGCTTCAGGCAAAGCCTTGAGGAGGACAACATCTCCCATAGTACACTGCTGCAAAGCATCATGGGCAAAATATGTCTTCCTCTTGTTGTAGTACTATAGGAAGGAAATACAGCATTAGCTATGTGCAAGTTGGAATCTATGGACACGCAGTTGCATTTGGTGTGTGAAAAACATTACACTTTTAATATAAAAACTTTAACAATAAATGTCCATTAAAATTTTAACTTCCTTTACTTTTTTCTTGTTTGTGCAGTTCCACCTGCATATATTTATAAATATAAATACAGTAGGAGGCTTACCTTGAGCAGGTAAGGGTCCAAGACCAGTCTTGTGACTCTCACTTTGGCGGTTTTCTGCATCTTGGTCCCTATGACTGTGCCAACGATCCATTTGGCATGGACTGATGCCTGCTTCACTGACATTGTGGAAATTTTTATTTTAAATACAGATAACCTAGGGGATGAACGAAGAATTAGATAATTGTTTGCAAAACAAATGGAGTAACAACAATAGTTTGCTACTTATCTATTGAAGAAAAAATATAATAATAAATTACCATTAGAAAAATATATATACTATTAAAATGAAATCTATAAAAGAGCAGACTGCCGGCTCACAAAAAATTCAAAAGGACAACAGAATACTTAAGTATTTCCTACCTGATTTTATATTCAGCAAAACATTTTAACACATCATTTAAAACATCCTTGCTATAATTAGAACACTTATTATTACTATTTACAGTTAGGTTGTCGATGATCATTATTTTTAAGTCAAAGGACGGGTTTGTTTGGCATCACCGCGACTCTATTATATCCGCATAACATTCGGCAATACTAAGAAACAAAAACAATTGTATTTAACATAAACACCGAGTAACACTCATAGTACAAAAATTTGCAAACTCACCGATAAATCACGAAAGGAGAAACGGTAAAAGGTCAAAAACTCCTTAGAGAAGACGTACCTCCATGCTGCAGTTCGGCTCGTTTTGATGACGTAATTACGGCTAGCAGCAAGGAAGGGGGCGGAGTTTTTAATTATCCTGAGTTGAAGGAACTATAAAGGATTAAATGAAGAAAATCGTTGGCAGTCAAGAGCAAAACATATTTATTGCCATCTAGTCCTGAAACACAACGACCTAAAGCAATCTTAGAACTCGGGATGAACTATCTTAATCACGATGAATTGGCTTTATGGCTTTTCTAATGATCACAATAATAATAATAAATATAATAAATTAATTTAAATCTTGTTAAATTATTTTGTTTAGATAAGTAGTTAAAATAGTTAAAAGTCCTCACTTTGAATAACAACCCTTGAAAAGAAATAACATTTTATTTAATAACGCCAATTTAACTTTTTACCACAAGATGACAGCAGAGAGGAAAGAAGAAGGAAACCGAAGAGAAGAAAACATAATTACTGTACTATGTCGCAAAAGATCACAGATATATGAAGCATTCATGATGAATATAGTAGCTGGCAACTATTCACCACCCACTGAGCTAAAATTTCAAAAGTAATCATTAAAATATACATTTCTGTGTGAGAACGGTCACCTCCAACTTGAAAACTTTGAGTACTATAAAGTGATACATTTATCTTATCTAGAGAAAACAATCCCTTACCACTTCCTCGAAAGAAAATTAGCTCTAGTTTTCATACTTAAAAAAAGAAAAAAACGTAGAAAAAGACAAAACATCCTACAATTTTTGGATAGCAGCTTGATAATAGACATCTAGATCTCCCTCAGTCACATGGTGATGATAAAGCTATGGATTTCTGTTGAAGCAGATATAAGTGGTCGAAGCTGTAAAACCACCACATTAACAGTCTTGTGCCTGAGAATAAATAGGCTGTGACTCGAGGCCAACCACAGGCAGACCAATCTGGCCTTAATCAGAGTCATGTTGTAGTAAAGCACAGGTCTGGGTTTCTGTTTCCCATTTAAGGCAGTGTAGCTTTGGTTTACTTCTGCCAGAATTACAACATTAGATAACTTTGGTCTACATACAAGAACACTGAGACAATTTGTTTCGTAGTAAACCGTATCCCTGTTTAACATCCTTGTATCATCATAAAGAATTCATACATCTAAACTGATCATCTGAGCTAATGATACGCACCCTGGTGGCCACCACATACATATAGATCCTGATGTAGCGTGCTGTACTGGGGCTCTTTATATAAGTAAGGAGATTTACAGTTCTACCCTCTTATCAGGTCTGAAGCCGACAAGTGCAGACCGCATGGTATGAGTGGCTATATTACAATATTTACCCAAAGATAATCACAACCATACCTAACTGCTAATGCAGCCAGTGTTTTTTTTATAGAGGAGAATTGACACGCTCAGCTATCAGCTATGAATCATGGGAAACCTCGCTTGGCGTGACACAAGACAGAGGTTCGATAGCACATAGACTGTATGATGACACGTGAATGTTTTCTAAGAAAACACACCAACCTCTTAATCAACAAGTTATATTTTCAGATTGACTGCAACACTGTTGGCCCACACCCTGTGTAATTTATTGGTCCACATGTGACATTTTGTTACAGATTAGACCACTAACGTCAACAACACTGGTCTGAGTCTGCATTGGGACTGACAGAAGATCACACTAAGCCCTTAAATTGTTTTAATTGAAAACAGATCCATCTTTAGAAAGTTATTTAGAATAAAAAATACAACAGTACACACTGTTACATTACAACTTAGTGATGAGCATGTATGTACAAACAAAAACAACATTTTTATTAAAAAAAAACAGCAACCCCAAAACAAAAGAACCAGTGGAACTGAATGTCTTCTTTCACTATAAAATCCAGAGAACTAACCAATCTATTCACCGTGCAGCCTGTTATTTGTTGGATAAATAAGCTATTAATTGTATATCAGAATTAGAAAGACTACTGTCAATAAAGATGAAGGGTAGAAAACTCTACTTAATGCAACAAATCTTCAAGCCAATAAGGAATGTAGTACTACAAACCACTAGGGTAAAATGACCATATCATTGTAGCTCAATACATTTTAACAATGACTCATAACCTTCACAAAGACAGTATTTAGAGAAGGTCAAACATCAAGATTGTCCAGAAGTGCTGTTCAATTTCTGACCTTGGTTCTCATCTGAGATTGACAAAAACACTGCATGATTTTGTTATGTTTAAAGGGGAATGTATTACTTTTTTTTTCACTTGCGAAACAGGATAACGACCACCCAGATGAAAGAAAGTTACAAAAAGCAGCATCTGTGGTTAAAAGAAGTTAAAAAGCAGCCACGGCACGAAGAATGTACACAAGCAAGATTATGTTTTAACAAACAAAGATCTTCAGTTCATTGCTACACTTTGAAACAAAGAACATGATTATTATTGTAGAGCTTCACTTCTCGGAATACACATTTCTTTAATTATCAGGTACTTACTAGTATTTACTGTTTTTGCCCTGAACTTTGCTTTTTTTTCAAGAAACATTTTCTGTCCTTAGCAACAGCTTTGCATATTCCACGAATTCAACCCACACAAGTACGTTCATCAATTAGAGACTTCTGATTGACTGATTTCGGATGCACTTTTCTCTGTAAATTAGACGGAAATCCCAGAAGTTACCCAGAAATGAATCCTTTGGGTCAACATATATGTTAAGATATAATTGAAGCAAATATTGACACTGTCAAAGACTTTGAATGTATTGACAGACATGTATGTATTAAAACTACTTCTACCAAGACTTACTTTAATCTCAGACTTCCATTTGTTGTTTTATGATCTTTCTGGGTTTTTAAATAGACCCTCATGGTGGACCTAATCATATAATAAATGACTAAGAAGCATGAATAATCATCTACTGAGTCATCATGTAAAAATATCGTCCAATAACAATTCTGGCCCCAGAAGTAATGTGACCTTGAAATCACAAATTAACCATGGAGTTTTTTTTTGTTACTGTATTTCATTTGCTGCTCCCCTGTGAGGTGATCCTCATATTTGGGCATATATGGGTGGTTATTTAGTTATATAGAAATTATATTATTTATATAGAAAATTGCATAAGAAGATGATTTTTATATGTCATGACTTTTCTATCACAAACACTACCAATACAGCAATCAGTACTGGAGTTGGAAGAGCCAACTGTCTGGTTTACAGAGCCCCATGTGGGACAAAACCCACCCGTGATATCCTCCCTGTGGCTGCACTGTCTTCTGACCTCTCTGGAATAGTTGGAAACACAAGAACACAGATAGGGAACCTGGAGGAGATCCAACATTCTCACCTTAATGACAGCACAATAGGACCACAATCCTGGAAAGAAGTGGGAACGAGTGTCAAACACATTTAAGACATAACTAGATTGTTTTTCCAGGGTCAAAAGTTGAAAGCGAGATAGTGCAGAAACAGAGAACAGGGGAAGGGCAAGGCACGGTGAACAGGATAGGCTTGGCACTGCTAACATTTGTAGTTGATGTAAAGGGACAGTAGGTCACAGTCTGCCAATGTTTGCTTTTTTGTGGCAGATTGACTGAGGGGTCAGTACAAATATAGGGGGCGGGGGGACTTTATGGGCTGCAGCCAAAGATTAAAAAGAGCTGGTCATGATTAGACAGTGACGATTATCCTCTTCGACTGTGGCTGTCTGAGCACCTTCTCTCCTCTTCTGTTCTTCTTTAACACAGTGTTGTCTTAACGTCACAGTGATGAAAGGACTTTGAGATGAGCAGTGGCGTGGAGCAGATGGGTAATTTGTTTGGAGAAAGACAATGAAAGAAATTGTTTGTATGTTTTTTTTTGCACCACCAGAAGACTATTGCAGTCATGTTACAAAATGGGAAACTTGCTCCAGAACAGGGGTCTCATGCACGTCACTTGTAAGCTACCAATAGCTCATTGGCCCTTTCCAAGTAGCTCGCCAAAGTGCTTATGAATCAAACAAACGTGAAAACTGAATCGGTTGCTCAGCAAGTCTGCTTAAATTTGTATCTAATCAAAATGGGCAATTGTCCCAAACAACAATTTGTTCTTTGCCATTTAGCTATCAATCAAAACTTTTTTTTAAATACAAAATGTTTTATGTGGACAGTAACATACTGTTAATGTTAAGGCAAAGGAAGTTTTTGTTTGTTAAAATTGAGAAAATAAATGTTACACAACAGGAGTGGCTCTCAGCCATTTCTGTGTCAAACAGCTCTAGAATATGTCTCAGATACTCAGATGTATCACAGCTATGTCCAAATATTAAAACAAAAACAAATGTTTATTTTGGTAAAAACATCAAATATTAGTATTTGTGAAATGTACACAGCGATTGCCCTCTAGCTTTCATTGTGTTTATTTCCTAGTAACTAGTGTAGGTCATTTCATTTATGCCATCAGAAACTAATGTCTTGCTTTGGCCATGTATTTCTGTCATTAAAGAAACAAATCTGCATTGTTCTACTGTAAATATTTATTTATTTATTTAGTTACATTTTCCCAGCCACCTCATTGGCTGCATTTTAATCAAAAGCAAATGGCTTTTCTCATTTCTTAGATTGTTTCATACTGTTTTCTGTGTGTGTGTGTACAATATGATACAAGGCATCGTGTATGGACTTATAGCACAAAAGTGGCGATGTTATGTGGTTATATTACTAACTGTACTTTCAGAAAACCTGAAACCTCCAACTACAGTCTATTCAGAGATAGTTTTGTCTATTTCTTATATGTGGCGCACACATATAACACACATGCACGTGTGTGGCGCTGAAGTAACAGAGGAGCCCAGTGGTCTGGGGAGAATATTAATAAGGGTGTATAGTGGTGTGAGGTTAGCGTTCAAGTGTTAATGTGATGTTGGATGTTAGAGAGTGTGCGTGGGGTGGGTGAAGGTGGGGGGTCTGCCTTGATCTATTCAGTGTGTTTGAGGAGGTTCATCAGTTCAGCAGCTTGAGAAAAGGAAGTGTTCTTTTTTTTTCAAGTCTTGTGCTGTGGGTCTGAACAGCACTGCATCATCTGCCAGAGTGGAGAAGATGTTTGACAGGATCAGTGGGGT